CTAATTTTGTCACTTTCTATGATTTAGAGTAAGTTAGCAAATACTCTTTAATTATATTTTTACATAGAGAGATTACAGTTCGCGTTGATTAAATCGAGGTTCTTTTCGGTCATAAAAATAATATAAGTGGTACATACTAAAATGTAGGTGCCTAATATTTATTTTTATAAGTTTAAACACTTTATCATGACACTTTATCCTTAAATTATCGTTGACTCTCACAGACAAATAGTTAATTTTAAACTTCGATCACAATATAACTTACTTTAATAAACCTTCTTTATTTGCAGTGCAGCGTCGAGACAATTACATAACAGCTTAATACAAACTTTATCACAAATAACTGCGCGTAATACTAACAATGCGGAAACTGCGTACAAAATATCTATGAATTTAGGTAGGTACCTACATAATATTTTCAGTTCTCTGCTATAATTACGTAGGAACTAGAAAAGTACTAATCTAACTAACCCTACTCTTAATATTTCTTAATAGATACAAAAGTCGAGCTTGCGTTAAATGCTGCTACTCGAATGGCCGAATTGGAAAATTTGATTAAACAATATGCTGACCAAATAAATGCACTTGATACAGGCCTCACTTGTCAGGTAATGAATAATCACACTCATAGACCATCCGATGAATGTTGTATAGGTCTAAGAAATTGGGCTCTGGAGTAAGTGTACAAAAGGACGCGGGTCCCTGTATAGATGATGATTGTCGTTGGAGTAGTTTTAATGTGGTAAGAGGCCCTCACTGACCAGTCTTTCTCCCCAAAAACCTACTTGTATTTCTAAATTTCCTGTACACAAGTTGTGTTCATCAAGCCCTTCACGGCATGTGCGTCACGTCTAAACAATCTATTCTAATATTATAAAGCTGTAGAGTTTGTTTGTTTGAACGCGCTAATCCCCGGAACTACTGGCTCGAATTATATAATTTGTGTTTGTTTGATCCATTTATCAAGGAAGGCTATAGGCTATAAAACATCACACCACGATCAAATGGAGCAGTGGGTGAAATCGCAGGACAGTAGCTAGTATTTATATAAATTTGTACTCACCAAGTTTCGAAGCCGCATGCACACTCGTAAGAAGCGATTTATATTTTTATATTTTTAGATGACGAACTACCAAGAACAAATATTGCAAATGCAACACGACTTAGAAACGGGATTGGAGACTATGACAGAACAATTAGGCAACACTGGCGGAGATACAGCAGGTATATATAATTAATAATTTGCAAGACTATAGTCTATTCCCTACCCGTACCTACAAATGTTCAACTTAGTTTATCGCCGGCTTTATTAAGAAATCACTCCTTTTTAGAGGAAACTGAAATAGAACATGATTGTTTTTCTATTATTTACAGCGGTGACTGAGCTAAATGCTCACTTCACGACCCTGCAAACGGATTTTGAGAACATGTTAACCCGACAGAGGGAATTGAAAGATGCACAAAATTCTACAGCTTATGATCTCGAAGTCAGTAACCGTTTTTATTTTCTTGCTGTATAGATCTCACGTTGATGTGTACTTGTTTTTAGTATTTAATAATATACATTCACAACTAATAATGTACAGGTGAATTATATATGTATGAATAATACAGTAAAAATAGCAAACTATACAAGACATACTTTTGTATAGTTCTAAACAAGCCTCTAATAAAAAGAACAACCTGTATATTATATGTGAGTTTAATAGATAACCACCTAATTTAGGGTCTAAAATAGTCTAAATATAATTATCATTTTCAGAATTTGTGGAGAGAAATAGAAATGCTTCGGGATACAAAATCTGATCGAGAAGAAGTAGCGGATGCTCTCCGTGATAAAGCCGGCCTTGGTGAACTCAATGGCCTCGTTTCTTTACAACAATTTGATGCTATACGAGGAGAAATCGAAAAACGTATAAATGCAGCATACGATAAATTTAATAATCAAGAAACTGTTTGGCAAGTAAGTGACATTACAGAAAATATAGGTAATGTACCTGCCATTTCAATTACTGGTACCTAATGTATTTAGTACTAACCACTATTTATTACTCTACATTTACAGAAAGCCATAGATGATCTTATAAGGTTACTAAACGGAAAAGCTGATATAATTCAGATTGAATCTTTGAGAGATGAAATTACAAAATACATATTGTTGATGAGAGATCGCATGCAATTCATAATAGATATTGTGGGAGATCCAAAAAGTGCTATGCTATCCAAGAAACTGTTCCGCGACACTACATGTCTCTCTTGTGGTAGCCCGGCACACATGGACGTAGAAAACCCAGTTTCTGTACCTGCTCTCCCGAAGTTCCCCTCAGCCAGACAGCCAGGTGAAGGAGCTGAAGCAGAGTCGAAAACTAAGGGAGACCATGGAGTTTGTTACAAAGATTTTGTCATACCGCACCCGAAAGACCCAAGGTACATTTATTATTTGTTAAAGCTTCCGAAATTTTGCCACAGGAAGACAGAAAGCACCTTTGACCTCAATGACTTCGCGAAAACGCCACAACTAAGTACATACAATATTGTTATCTTATCAACAGGTTACACATATGTAATCGGTTCTGTGGCGGTTCTCATACTAAGATTAACGAAGGACCGAGTCGAGTTCCACCTGACATGGTAATAAAACAGGCCGGACCAACGACTACAGTACTTGGCACAGACGGAAAAGTAAGAACATTCTTATTTATTACCTCAGCCCAAGGTAAGCGCAACGTGGCACCGTGGCCTCGGCCTAAAGCGGGATAAAGAGCGGGAGGATTTTTAGTCATTAAGAGTCTGCCACTCTCTCTAGCACAGAAATCTTAATAAGATAGAGAAGAGAAGAAGAGACGTCATTTGATGATTTTCCTCTGACAAAAAAAGTCCCAATATTATCACAGGCTCACTCCGAGGTTGCGGGTGTTTGTTATATTATTTTATCAATAACCCTGTTGGTGATTAAGTGTAATATCTAAACCATCCTGTATTTCGTTTGGTAAATAATTTACACATGTTTCTTTCAGCCGTATATGGTGGATGAAAAAACTATAGAATTAAAAATACCATGTCTTCCATGTAACAAGGCAAACCCGCCATTCGATCTCGAAAATGGTAATGTTTATATTTGGCTTTTTAAAGGATAGGATGATAGATAATACATGGTAAGCAATCGGTGCCGCCTTATTACTACTGTTTCAAGTGCATTGCCGGGTGGGTATATGTATAATCTTCAGTAAATTCAGTTATACCTGGCGAAACGAGGCAAGCGTTCAACTGGGGTACCACATTATATAAGCGCAGAGACGACGCCAGCGCCTATGTATTTGCTTATTAATTGTTGAATTGAAACCAGTTATGAAGCACTAACATTATTTTCTTCTTTTAAGATTGTGATAATAATCCTGAAAATACAGGTATTCTCAGAACAATACCGGGACTCGACATGGCATCTTAGAAAACTATAAAGCTTTGTGTCGTAAATTAAAATTACATTTTTTTCAAAATTCTTCTTTCGTTTGTTACTCTAAATAAAAATATATAATAAAACTGCTTTATATTTATTATCTTCGTCTTAGTGCCAATTTATTGCACAAAAATTAAAAAACAATTATACAATTTTTATGTGGATTTGCATACATTTTCCAGTTCATTGGCGTGGCTGTTTCATCAATTAGCTAAATATCAACGCACGGCCTGCAAGTGTGTCTCTCTCCATGGCAATAATCAAGTCTCTAACCGTAGTAAACGTTTTTATTTTATTTTATGCATTTTTTTGTTTTATTTCTTATCTAACTTTTGCTCGTGACTTTGTTCGCGGGGTATAGTGACTTCCTGCAGATTTTTGGTTTAAAAACTATCCTATGTCCTTTCTCGAGTTCCAACCTATGTCTGTCACACAAATACTTAGGTTCAATAGTTTAGGCGTGAAAAAAAAGACAGACAGACAGAGTTACTTTTTTTTATTAGTTAATAATATTAGGTTGGATATTTTAGTAAAATTCACGAGATAATCTTATATTTTCATGAGGTAGATTAATGTGGTGGCTTTAGAAGTGATCACACTCGACCTTTTGTCTACCATCGCAGTCGCACCAAATGTAGGAAAAGCACTTCGGCCTCGGCTATTATATCAACGTCCGAGATCGGTGGACTTGGGAAAGTGGCCAAGGTGGAACACGGAGGGACGGATCTACACCTCATTCCCCTATGCAACATGAGCTAGTCTGTACGGACATCCGATAGAGTTTGATAGTACTGTACTAAGGCGGCGTAAGGCGTGGGCGACGTGGGCCACCGCCTACGGCCTCGCGGTAGGTACAGGGGACCTCGGGCCTCAAGAATTTTTAATTTTCAGGTCGCCATAGAAAAACTCCTCGCAAAATCTGTCTTGCCCACATTAAAATTTAGTCTTGCCCCGCCACTGATAGTACAGTACTACATGAGCATTTATTTCCCCCACTCGAGACATAAAGGTTTTTCGTAGCAACTTTTTTAAATGCTATTCAACTTGTAAATTTTACACAATGTGTATTGACAAACAAGTAAGTAAAGTAGAAATAGTAATTATTCTTTAATAAGTAGGTAATACGAATGACAGAAGCTGTTAACTGAGCAATTTCCATTACTAATGGTGACGACTTTTACCCAAGTTATATAATATTTACTTGGATAAAAATTCTACAAAAGAAATTTCTCGTGTGTTCCTTCATGTTCCACACACAGTTTTTTTTTAATTTAACGCTCTTTTCCTGGATCAACTTTTGTTTGCCTCTACATATACGCTTTTATTGGTCTGTGGTTGAAATAACGAAAAACTATGTTAAATTATTTAGTAACATTCACATTATATTACAATGATTATGAAAATAACCTTTGATTATTTATATTAATCAAAGAAAATAACATGTTGTTCGTATTAAAATCAACGCTATTTTTTTTTTTGTTTTAAAACTTTCCGGCCATAGATCAGAGCCATGTTACAGCTGACATCTGACACAAATGACAGACAACAATCCTAACATTATGACGTCTGACGTAAGTCAGGAATATATTGTGGAATAGGGGTTATAATGAACAGATGAACAGAATAATTAATTAATAATTCTTATTTGTTGTGTTTGGATTATCCTTCTGTAAGGTAAATTATATCACTGATATAATTTTGCATTTATTTGTACCCGTCATACCTACTTATACATACCTGTTATTCTAGGATCACACGTCTGCAAAGATGCATAAAATACTAGAGTTTCAAGCTGTTGTGCTGGCCGCGGGCAGAGGCTCCAGGTTGCCTGATGTTGGTGGTTCGGTTTCTAAGTGTCTGTTACCTGTGGGACCGTACCCAGTCGTGTGGTACTCATTGAACTTATTGGAGAAATTAGGATTTCAAGGTACAAAATTAACGTCTGTATTTTTCTACTCAATGAATCCCTGTTCGTGTTTTACATTCAAAATCCCAAAGATATTGACTAACCATATATTGACTGCAGCAGCAATGAAGTCTAATCATATTTCAAATAGATCAGTATAAAGCAAACATTTGAAAAAAAGTTATTTGAAAAAAGGATCAGTCGGCAATTGAAGCTATTTGCTCTAATAACATTTTAACTAATAAAATGTATGTACTTTTTACAGAAACATTGGTTGTTGTACTTGACGAAGACAAATCAAACATCTTGAATGCTTTGGAGAAATGTCCTCTAAAAATTAAGTATGAATTAATAGTAATCCCATCCGATGAGGATTGGGGCACAGCTAACTCCTTGAAGCACATCAGTAGCAGAGTAACCACAGACCTGTTGGTGATATCTGGAGATCTTATAACTAATATCAATTTAAATGAAGTTTTGAATGTTCATAGAAAATATGATGCAGCTCTTACAACATTATTCTTTAACAATGGGCCCGAAGAATGGATTGAGCTACCTGGACCTAAAACTAAGTCTAAACCTGACAGAGATCTTGTCTGCATTGACAAGGAAACACAGCGACTTGTGTTTCTAGCTAGTGCTAGTGATTTTGAGGAGAATATTACAATACCCAGAATGTTATTAAAGAAATTTGATTCAATTAGCATGTACAGCCGCTTGTTAGATGCACATGTGTATGTTATGAAGCACTGGGTGATGAATTACCTTGTAGAGTCTGACAGGTTCACATCAATCAAAGGAGAACTTATTCCACACATTGTGAAGAAGCAACTATCTAAGCCTAAAAACACTTTAGAAAAGAAAGGAACTTCAGAGAAAAATGTTGAAATTACTAAAGATATATTTGATTATGCAGTTGAGAATGGATATGAGAGTAAGATTAGGGAGATGACAGCTTATAATGACCATAAACTAGGCAGTAAAGGTGTCTTCTACAATGACTTGCTACGGTGCTACGCTCATGTACCTGACAAGAACACATTTGGTATAAGAGTAAATACATTGTCGTCATTTTATCTATCTAATAACAAGGTAAGATTTTGAAATTGCAAATAGTATCTCAAATTAATACAATTTAGTTTATAGTCCCTAAAATAAATGTTTTTATCAACATCACATTGAAATAAAAGTAAGCAATTAAATATTTGTTCTTTAATTATAAGCCAATTGAAAAATTACTAAATCTGATAAAACTTTATGACATACATAGCTCTGCTTAGGCTTTGCACCCATTCAATGCTGATAATTAATTCCTCCACTATTAATGTTATTATACTGAAATGCTATCATTAAAAAAACCACATCAAACTCCATGGCGTAGTTTAAAACAAATAAGCTTGCATAGGGATATAGAGACAGATAGTGACTTTTTTATACTATGTTGTTATACTCATTCATAATAATTATGTTAACTATTCCAGATATTGTCAAAGTGGGAAGAGCTGACTGGTACTCCTTTAACAGAAAGATTTCACCCAGATAGTGATGTGAAAACAAAACAAATAGATGAAACAAGCACAGTGGGTGAAAAAAGTCTTGTCAGTGAAAAGACATCTATCAAAAACACATTCATCGGTGCCAACTGTACTATTGAAAACAAAGTTAGATTGACCAACTGTATATTGATGAACAATGTCACTATCAAGGAAGGGTAAGTTTTTTTTTCATAAAACAAAGCCTGTAGCAGTTCATTCATTGTGCTGCTACTTAGTTCTCCTGCTTAAAACTAGATGGCGCTAGGGGTCCCTTTTTTATCAAGTTAAACTTAACAATAATTTTATTATTTTTTACACTAAAGAAGAATTAAATTCAATATTTTATTCGAAATACTCAAATCATTAATACATAAATCTTATACGCCAAATGACGGCTATATTTTTTATAAATGGAACACAAAAATATTAATAAATATTTTATTTCGACAGTTGTGTTCTACAAGACTGCGTGGTATACACTGGCGCGACGGTAGAAACTGGTTGCAACCTTCAGTTCTGTCTGGTGGGCCCACACCACGTCGTCGCAGCCTCGACTTCTAGCAACCATCAGCTGCACGCCGAGACCACCGACAACATGATCACACTGGGCTAATAATTTAATTAATTTACAGAGTAATAAAGATTTTATTATATTATACACCTAAATGGGTGTTTTTGTATAGCTTTTTTCATTCGTTTCCCATTCGTTCGTCATCCGCACCTATATTTAAATAGTCAAAAAAAGTCAAAAACCATTGATTCCAATTAGACACTTACAGGCACTTTTGAACGTCAAACAAAATTTTGTATAAATAGTGTCAGTCTGTCGGTCAGTCCTCTTAGTAAAGCTATTTGCTCGTTCCAAAGTGTAGATTCCGATGGAGAAAAACGAGCAAAAAACTCCATGGTTACTCTTTTTAAATCAGTTTCACTTACAGATCCTTTTACAAACAGTTGGTTCAGTTACGTGAGAACAGTGTAACACTAATATTTATTACAATATAAAAAGAAAGTAAAAAAATAAAAGAAAGTACCACCTATTTTCATTTTTCTTATTTATTTATTTGCGTTCTACAATGTAAAAATATGTTAACAAAAGCTAGAGCTAAGAGCCGTAGTCGACCCTGTAAGGGCACAGCAAAATAGTTTTGTTACAAAATAGAAAATTCTTAATATCTAAGTAGTAAAAGTTTAAAATTAAATCAACTTATAAATGGTAATTAAATCATTATAGTAACAACAAATGTTGCGATTCTCATATTCATTTATTTTTACACCAGAATGTACTTATGTAACGCCTGTATGGAGTGTATGGATACTGCTTGATATCAAATGACTTAGCGCCGCACTCTGGACGAGAGAGTGTTAGACTCTTACTGACTAAAAACCGTTCTTTTACCGACATGCCATTTTTTTCTGGGTTTTACCGCCCCACTTTATGCCCCATTTAGGACTGAAATACTGGTTTATTAGAAAGAGTTGTCTTAACTCATCAACCCAATTAGCCAGTACTAAATATCTTCGTCACGCTTTATTCCACGCGTATCTATCCTACTAAAGACACTGCTACACTTGTTGGTTCAAGCATAAATCCATCAATTTCTTGTGGTATGTTCGCATGTTGTGGTTTTGTTCTTTACTTAAATTAGGTACCTACTTTTACTTAAATCCTCCACCTCTTGTTGTTGACTGTATATTGTGTATATCTAACTTTTCAAATATTTCCCCTAGATATAAATAACTAGCTCCAGTTTGACCAGTGGACTACTGCTCAATTAGTCGCGAGTTCGATTTCCGCGTGAATTTAATACCTGGGTGTAACGAGTTTCTCAATTAAATCACGTAAAAAAATATAAGACAAGAGCCACGTTTAAAAAGAAACTTATAAGTACGTATAAAGTCGATTGTAAAAGCTAGTTTGGCTACACTTGGTCATAGGTCAAGTTTTCACAAAGTTGTCAACTAAACTAGGTACTTACTACGTTGTTAAATATTCAGGTATCAGGATATAATATAATTAAACTTAGGTATTTACTTAATACCTACCTAGTGGCTACAACTGACCCGATCTTTCGTAGGTAGATAATATGCAATGGTCAACATTCTTCGTAGAACAGTTTTCCAATGTAGATAGTTATACATTATTTGAGATGAGAGTGTCACAATCAGCCACAAATATTCGTTAATAATAGGTACCTATTTATTAACACTAATAAAAAATACCTACCTGAAATGCAATGTGATAATAATACCTACCTACTCATTAGCTTAAATAAGTACGAGGTATCAAACTTTAACAAAATGAAATCTTTGTTATCTAAGAAATCTTATCGGTATGTTTTAATTTATCTACGTTTAAATTAAAAACAAAATATAACATGCCAGAATAGACAGAAACCTAGAGTTTGCCTACCTTCACCTTTTTCCCTTGCATTATAAAACCATTGTAGATAAGTACTTCTAAAGGAATTCCAAATATGCAATAAGTAGGTACAATTAATTTGTTCTTACCTCCAAACCAAAACAATACCTACATCCGAAAGCTTTCTCTTTACAAATCTCAAAGGAATGCACAGAGTCGACATTTTTTGTTTCACCAATCAAGTCTTAATTAAGAACAGGTATCAATTACTGTGCATATCAGTAGGTATATCTACAGATAGATCAAAAGATAAATAGAACGCAAATTGTAGCCAGGTGCGGTAATCAATGTCTATCATTTATGTGCATGTGTTATGTAACTGTTGCGATGCATCCGACGCCAATAGCACAAGACCTAGTATGTAGAAATAAGCACTACATACCTACTAGCACATCAAGATACTCGAAAATGACAAATTTAAGTAATAAATTTTCAACTTTAATTCAAATCGGTAAGGTTCAATTCTATAAGAGAAAGAGGGATAGTCTGATGTGCCACCAATCACCTAAGCTAGCAGGTCAAAGTACTAAAAACTTTTTTATTATTATTGCCTTTAATTGGTATTAACGACCAGTAACTTTCATTATCACGTCCAATGACTAGTTAGTAGGCTAGGATTAATTCATAATTTAATTTAACTACACAAATAACTCGGTTTTTTGGTAACATAATATCCGCCTGTTTTCGAAATAGTAGAAACTGGGCTGGATATTGCTATAACTAATTGGTAAACTCATATACCTAAATAAATAGGAATAGGTATTGCTCAATATGCAACAAGATAAATTTATGTAATCATCCATAAGTTTTACCTTCTAACCGTAAATACCTACTAAACTTCCAACTAATTTCGGGAGCTATCTCGGTGGTCCTAAAAATCAAATCGAACCTCACCAAAATATCAATAAAATTATCAGCCTGAAACAAATATTTAGATATTAGGTACCTAGGTGTAGATACCTAGGTATGTATGTACTTTGCCACTTACCCACGCGTGTAAGCCTAACGATGACGTTTTTTGTCGTATCTATCAACGCGATTGTTTTAAATGAGACCCCTAATTACCATAATTTTATATCAAGTACCTGACATAATACCTAATAATAAACATTAAAATCTTTTAGCATTCACTCAACTATATAATTATGGCAAAAAATGGCAGAAATCGTGATTAGCTATCCAATTCAATGTTTGTAATCACGATATTTAGAGTTTGTCTAATAAGCAGCTTGCAAATAACATTAAAAGAAGAAAGTCTAATTTAATTCAATGTTAATTATATATGCCTTGCATCATGCCTCCTGTTTCCAGAAATGGAAGACAGAGATGCACATCATGTAATAACACCCCCTATTCACGCGCTAAGAATAAGCTTGAAAGCCGTGTCATTGCGACTAGTGAAACTTGGAAATTCTCCACGAAAGTCCTTGTTTGGCAGTCGCATTCAAGGCCACTCGAAGCTATTGTTACTTAGAATTTGTTATCTAAAGTATTGAATTCAGAATACATCTAAAAAACCTCACAATAATATGTAAATCAAAACAAATGATAAGAACATAGCAAAATTGTTACCCAATTAGGTATAAATAAGTATGTCCCCAATAAATAATTTCCGGTAATTAATCCGATATTATCGTAATTGTACAATCAGAGTTATGGTACATTACCGCATACACCTTAATCAACAATTCAATTAGGAAGCATTAATACTTTATTGAGACTGTAAAAGTGAATATTAAAAAATGATCAAAAGTTGTGACCTAACCAAAATTTTGCAATTTTTGACTGCAGACTGGCGCCATTTATCAGATTGTTGCAACAAATTATTGGACATTGCGTGCCGACGGGTTGGGCTAGACAGATAATAGCTGTAGCAATATGTAGAGGGTACCTACGTGTTATATAACCAACATTTAATAGCAAAAATACTGGAAGTGATAACGCTGACTGCATCGCGTGCGACCGCGTAATTTGCCGAATAAATCTCTCGTCTTCTTTGCATAATAATAATTACGTGTGCCCGAGTCTTACGAGGTAGATAAATAGGACTATCTCAGATTGCCTTTACGAAACACGTGCAACATGCAGATGCATATCTACTCTTGAGAAATTATAACAAGACTTATAATAAGTTTGTAGTCGTGCGCGTAGCTGTTAGGTCAGATCTCACAGAAGCACTTAAAGTTTTGAAACAGAAGCTTCTTAGAAGATTAACGTCTCTTTGCCTATACTAATAGGTTAATATTGAAGACATTTGTTTATTTTTTTAAATGTATGTCAAGATCAGAAATTAGTATTAGGTAGAGCATAACGTAGACCTGGTGCCTACTTCTGGCAACGTACTATACTGCACTTCAGCAGGTAGAAAACCTGCAGAAGTGTTTAACTTGCACTTCTTGATTGCGTAAGTCGATGGCGTTCTTGGTAGGTATAAGTAGTACTTGCTAGCTGTGTATGCAAAATAACGATTTGTCATGATGTTAAATCCCAATGAGTTTGCTCAGTAGTGTCCTGAACCCACATTTTTAGGAATAACTAATACTGGCAAAATAAGGGACATTACAGTTGTTTACGTCACTCCACTACCTACCGATTACACCGAGTATTCTCTCCTTTGCTATGCTTGGAGTTAAAATCAATAAAATGTATGTTTATATATTTTTTTGTATCAGAGTACGAATTTTTAACAACATAGAGTTTATAACTTCTGTCAATGTGCATGACTTCCCAGTTTTGGTAACGTTTTTTACGATTATGAAGTAAATAGCGGGAAATCGCTGCTACGCGCTACGAACTTCGCGCTACGAGCTACGCTACGCCTGTTGGTTTAAAAATTTGGCTTAACATAAAATCTGATTACTTTAAGACAATGTACCTAAGGTAAGAGGTCGCGTCTAGGCAATATATTGGTCCTACCTGCTGAGTAGTAGATAAGCTAAGACATTAAAATTTGCTTTACAAAGCAGTAATAGGCTCAATCCCATTACAAATAGAATAACTTAAAGACAAAGCTGACAAAATGACTTATAATGGCAACCGGTGTTTATAAAAATTCTACAACCAGATTCTGCACGGTTAGTAACTAGTTATATCTATTACTAACACAGTTAATTAAAAATTCATCTCACCTCTAAATGACGCAATTATTACAATTAACGGGCCAAAACTCTATCACGATCTCGTTTCTATAAGAACACTATGTCAAGGCTACGAATATCTAAATAAAGTTTATATTTTGGTTTGTTTTTATGCTCTGATTAATTAATTGAATTAATTTTAGGTGATAATAAGAATAGGTCTGATTATGTTTAACTGTTAAAATAGGAAAAGTAGAGATACTTATACGTAGGTGTATTCTATGTGGAACGTAGACAACCAAAAAGCAATACTTACACCCGGTTTCTGAAAGGCTTGTCAACACTAAAATTAACTAATCTCCTGTTAAATCTTTTATCAAGTCATCTGATTGGTTGTTGATAATTCAGTCAACCAATGAGATGACTTGACAAGAGATTAAATTGATTTTAACATTGATCGGCCTTTCGGAAACCGGGCGTTGCCTTGTGTTCAGCCGTGCACGTGAGGTTATCAGAGGCCCAATTCCTCCCCCCTCCCCCATCCTCAATCCTCAAATCTCCTATCCTTAAATCCCGAATAACCCACAAGAGTCCAGCAACGCACTTGTAATGACTCCTTTGGTACTTATTCAAGTGTCCACGGGTGGCGCTAATTGCTTCCATTAGCTAATCCGACTGCACGTTTGCCGAACTATGACATAAAAAAGAACCATGGCCAAAATTGGTGGCTGGCGTAAGTTCACGTATTTAGTAATTATTTCTTACTTGAACTTTCAACACAAATTCCTTTACTTATCTTATTTATACATTCACTTATTTCCTAGCAGAAACTATTAAAACTAAATGATGGTAATAACCATAAACTAAATGAGTTAATGTGCCAGCTTTTAAGCCGCACCAAAAAAATCTGGACATGATACACGTGCCGGGTGCAATACACCCACTCATTTTTGTCCATCTGCCACTAAGTAGTTTTATAAAATGTGCTTGTCGGTAAAAACTAATATGTTCATGTTATCATACTAAGAGGAATTGGGTGACGCTTTATTGAAATATATCAATCATTAATACATATATTTCACACACATAATTATGTTGGCACATAATTAAACCAAAAATATATTATAAGTAAGTAGGTACTTATTATCTACGTAGACACGTATGTAACTTATTGTGGTCGTAAATTCACCGAACTTCAATGTCAATCAAATCTTCAACTTGTAAGAACTTCCACTTTAAGTGCTTTACCGATTTAATACCTCTTTTGTATCTGGTTGCAGTACGTAGAAGACAGAAATATAAGCAGTCGACCCTTAATTATAGCAATTGTTACATAAGTGTGGGAGAGCCATGGTTCGGCATAAAAGGATCGGCACCACTGGAATGAAGTGTCATGTTATGGCCTCAGAGAAAACCGGCGAGGAACACTGAGATGTGTTTCGCCCTGTGAATGGTGTTAGCGGAGCCCCAATCCTTTTCCTTCCCCATCGTCCCCAATCCCTAAATCACCCTTAACACTAATCCCCAAAAGACCAGCAGCATACTCGTAACTCTTGTAATGTTTCGGGTATCCATAGGCGCCACCATCGAATAATCCGTCTGTTCGTTAGCAAAAACAATTAAAAAAAAACTCGTATCAAATTAATTAATCCTAAAATCTATATTGGTACTCTAACACCCTTGATTATGAAGTGATTTATTTGAATTAAAATTAATGTAAAGATACGCACTACTTGGTCCAGTTTCCTCCGTTCCAGATTTACGCACAAAAATATTTACTGTTGTATAGTACTGTTCTAAGAAATTGTATGTTTATAGTTATACTTGTTTCACTGGAATGAGGTTATTATAACCTTATTATGTATAATAATATTTCTTATCTATTTTTAATATTAAAAAGCTAAAGCTATCTCCGCAAGTACCTACTGTTTCAAATTGAACAATTATTTTTGTGTTAGATAGTCCTTTTATCGGAAAAGGCTATACCCGATAAAAGGACTATCTTCATATAATAAATGGCTATAAAACATCACGGTACCTACGTCCAATAAGAGTCGACCAGCAGGTGGAACCGCGCACGAGCAGCTAGTAATAATAATAATATCATCAAACACGATAGGTAAGGTCTGTATAATGTAGATAGAACCTGGGTGACAAAACATTTGAAGAATGATGTTTTTAATATTATATAAAATTATTTTCCCTAATTTGCCTCACGATACAAATACATACGAAAGATGTCCACGGTCTCCCTATAGCGCATTGATTAATATAAATGCAACAATAAACTTGTATATATATGTATGTATATGTAATATAAACCTAGCTGTTTAATACATAAACATTCGTCTAGACTTTCTTATTCATAGCCATTTCACCTGTCTCTTCGACTATCAATACATTAAGCACAAACAATCACTAGGCAGCTTAAGAGAAGGCACTTAAATACTTTTATGATCTTGAAATATGATTTGTTATTTAGACATCAATCAGTGGAATAAATTGCTATGTGTACACGAAATGACTTCTCGCAGTTCGTCAGGTTGCAGCGTAATGAAAGTGGTGCGGTCTGAAGCCGGTCTGCAGTTCGCAGTGCGAGTGTACCGGCTAGGCTCGCCACCACAGGCCAGTCTATACAACACTTTCCCGAACCGCGCACGCGCGTACGTTCGCCTGTATTACAACACTCGGAAACGCTCCGAAATTACGTGATTCCATTTAAAGCCATTCCCATTCAAAGTGTAACTACACGTAAATTCGACTGATGTATGTTATATAAAATCTATTAAGTAACGGGTAGCTGTCAGTACCATCCCGTGGTTGTTTACGTGAACCTCGTGCTTGACGCACACTTTTCAGCGGTGACAGAAACAGCTGAGCGAAGCGGGAAATTAGGAGCAAGCGGGATAACAGCCAATTACAGGATCTCGGGTGAGTTATAACATATTCCTTATTGTAGACAATAAGTATGTGAATATTTACCACTATAATTGTAAACATCTGTGTATCAAATAAATAAATAATATGCATAATTTTAAACAGAAAATATTGAAATTATATGACCGCATGAAATATTTATGCCAACGTCCTCATAAAATCAATATGAAAAATGTAATGAGTTCTCAACTTCGCAGCCGTAAATTGCGAATATTCAAATAGTCATAATATATTGCTTGGTTTCCACGATGAATAATAAAAAAATAAATTTTCCACAATCGATAATTTATTAATCATATATGTACATATATAGTTACAACCTTCTTAAAACCATTCACGCATGACTTTACCATATATGAAACCAAATTGCAAAACAAAATTCATTTATTGAATCTTTAAAATTCATGTCAATAAAAAAACCACATTCTAAATTAATTTTAATAACATAATTGGAACAAGATCTCAGCTTAAATATTAGTTATAATAAAATGAAACGGAATTATTAAAAATGTTTTATAAGCTCCAAAAATAATAATGTATATCGAATCTGGGGTGATATTACGGAAACGAAACCAGATTTTGAGTCCAATGTCATAATAAAAAGACAATAGAGTCGGCGACGCCTCGTTATGTCAACAGAAACTTGAAGTATTTCGAGGAAATGTTTCCGAGTTCGTAACCAATACAGCGAAACATGAAAAACCGTCTACGTCTGAATGCGAATCGCAATCAATTTCCAATCACCTACGTAATCACTCAAAAGCCTCATTACGTTAACTCGGCTTTTCATTCATCAGCCTTTATTGCGAGTGGAGGAATTGGCATGAAAAGCCAACCATCCCAATTACTTATAATACTATTATGAATCTGTAAATAATATTATTATAAGCTATTGTTTTTGCAAACTATTTCTGTCACACGTTCCTTTTATAATATCCAACAATAACAAATGCTTTCAATACCAGAACAATTTAAATAAAGAACAATGAGGTTAAACCTGCAGCACAGAAATGTTATCAATTTTCCTTATAAAAATACACATTAGGTACGTTGTTTTGCTTTTTTACAAATTTATTGGAAGGCGGTGATAAATAAAACAAGGTTAATACCCACATCGTGTCATCATCACTATGGCAAAATACCGTTAAATAACAAACACGCCAAAAGGTAACATTTTGACCTTTTTATCATTCTAAAAAACTCTAAACAATACAGTTATATACAAACCGAATATTTTCAAAACTATATCACTATGTTAATAAACTAGCTTCCGCTTGTAGCTTCACCCGCGTGGTATGTTGATTAAAAGCCTATGTCCTATTCCGAAGTGTATACTATGCCTGTGCCAAATTTCATCCAGACCCGTCCAGCCGTTTTGGCGTGATTGAGTAACAAACATCCAAACATCGTAACTTTTGCATTTATAGTATTAGTAAGATAAAACGATCAGTAAATTCAGAAGGGCCTACTTTCAGCTGGGGTTGCAGTTCAAGTGCAATAATGCACCGCGGCCTCGACCTAGAACAGGAGAAGAAACTGGGTGGTTTTTAGTCAGAAACAGTCGGAAACTCCTTCTCGCCCCACCCCAGCGCAAGAGAATTATGTGATAAAAAATTGCACTGTAAAATATTTCGCGTAGAAAGGACAACAACTGAATATAGAGGAAATAAATAATATAAGACTCACGGCCACGTTCAGAAAACCCTTAAAAACAATAAAAACAAGTATTAAAATTCATAAACTTGCACCTCAAATGCGATTTATTAGTACAACTTACGAGACTTACGTTTTTGGCTTGTACATTTAATGTTATGTTATGTGCGAAAAATACTATCAATCGCCCAATAATGGGTTTTATTTCTTATAAATGATAATCTTTTTAGACCGAAATAAAATTGGCAGAGGATCACAATACAATGGGAACATTACACAAGTGGATGTAGCTCTTCCTTTGTATTCTCCGAGGCACCCTTGCGACATCTGCTGAAGATTCGGTCACTTTGTTTAGAATAATACAAAATTAAGTTTGGAAACATGTAGGGTATTCGTCGTTCAAAAGTATCAAAATATTTGGGGCTTTGTTTGTTGAAATTACAAAGTTTATTTTACAAATCTTCTTTCTAAGTCCAATCTTGGACGATCTACAATAAATTAACCTGTAGAAATAATAATTTCAGATAATACAGTACAACATATTCTATTGATAAATCGCTCTATTTCCAACGAATTTATTAACACCTAATCAGCATGAGGGAAAAAGTAATAGCTAATGGAACATCAAAGATATACCGGACTGCATTAAATTGAAGATATCAATAGATCGTTATCACTGTCAGAGTGTCAGTGGTTACTCAATATTTGTTGTCGTGGTCGCCTTGGCGGCGTGCGCGCGCACTCCAAGCACGTGCGTTGCGTTAAGCAAGTAGTCGCCGACACCGGCGGGCCCGCAGCGCCCAGCTGCTTGCAAAACGCATCGCTTTCTAATCACTAGAACCTTCGAAAATACATAAAAGTGCTATAATTAAAATACATTGAACACCACTTGGCAGGCGCTAAGCATGTGATTTAATCAATGCATCATTTTACACGCAAGCGATGCTTTCATTGCGTGTGTTGCTGCACCAACCTCTTTAACGCAAGTTGCTAAAATTTTCTCATCGTCCATTCATAGCTGAATGACGGGAAGTAACAAGGCTGTTATTAATAATCTCAGTCAACAATAATTGGAAGATACACCCGACAAACTGTGATTAGAAAGTTGTAAACATAATTGATTACACTTAACGCTTATTAATACTTAATTTCCTGAGTTTCGATCGATTTAAACCATCGCTTTGATATGTTCAAGCAGCAATCGAAATCAATTCACTATCAAATAAGATACCTATTAAATGCTTACCTTAATCATAAAATCTATTCCGAGATCTAGGAATTCAGAAAATACTGTTTCTGTTCCGCATATTATCAAATAATGTGTCTCCTGATCCAAATCAAGTTCGCCCAAGTATCTGCATGAGCTTTCATGTTAATAATACCATAGTATTACAATGATGGATGTGTTGTTGTAACATAGTGTAAGTACTGGTTACTGGCTGGGCGAAATTGGTTCTATCTGACTTCCAATCAATGCTGACCTAATGAGATTTTAACAACATTTTAATGTGTGATTCTGTCAATAGTTCCGATTCCCAGGAAGAATCAGTGAAGTGTGAAAGTTCATAGTAAATTACACAACGGTATCGTTTGAGACGGCAGCTGTTCAGTGCAGTAGGTGAATATGTAAAATGAGTTGCACAACCGTTGCAGAACATTACGTTCCTGCGTTTTAATGCTCCGCTTCTGCATTACGGCATTAGACTAACACTTCACAACCGAGTAAGATAAAACCGGGTTACTGCATTCGATTACAAATGTCTTTCACAACAATTGGCGGATAAAAAGGACGTGTGACTAACTAGACAAACATAAAGTACAAGTCGTTTTATCACGTGGAATGTGTTCTTGTAAAATACATGCGTACTACGACTGATCTAAGACCCAGGTTAAAATTTCGCTACTATTTATTTTTGGGGTAGAGCCAAGCTTCAATACGAATGGGTCGACCAGAGTGATTGCACGGCGTCTCAGAAAACCGGCGTGAAACAACCTCAACGTTGTATTTCACTGTGTGATTGATGTTACCGGAGGGTCAAGTCATCCGTCCCCCATCCCTCCCCAATCCTTAAATATTCGAATCATCAAAATGTGGTCTATCAGTCCTTTGGTTTCCAGTGGCCAAATGGTTAAAATCGTGTAATCCATCAGCTCGTTTGCCGCCCTACAACATAAAGAAATGCCATACCTCACATTTCCCAAAATGATAAAAACAGATCAATTAAAGACGTACTTGAGTTATTTAATCTACAAAAACAATGTGCATGAGCTAAGTATCGATTACAGCTACTCAGTTACGTACCTTGTAATCTATGATCTTACCGACTCATTAAGGCTCATAACATAGCCATTACGGACCAACTTAAATATTAGTTAGCTTCTAACAATCTACCAACTGCCGGATGACCGTCGACAGTTCCGATACAGTTGCCAAGCAATTATATCACTTATTACTTCCATATATGTATAGATAAATTATTTCAAATATCGCACCTGTCAAAGAAATAGAAACTGTTCTTTGCAATATTATGTGTCTAAGGATTACCTGTAACTTAGCTTGCGTTCAACATTCATGCTTTCGTCTTTCGCGTAAAATTCTTGATTGTAGAAAATTATATCTTCGTGTTCCCAAAGGAAACCGTCATACCTAGATCTCTAAAGTCTAAACAGTACGTAGTTTCGGGTGTATTTCGTCTATCAGTCCACTATAGGTACCAGTAACGGAAGAGTTTTATATATTGAACATCCAGTTTATAAAGCGAATCAATCAACAATCGTCTCGTTTGTAATGCAAAATAAAACGTGACATGACTCAACAACTCATTATATCCTTCCTTTGTGGTGCCCATAGATTTCCAATGTGCCAACTCGATTATTGAACCATAGATTATTATACAAATAATCAGATAAAAATTATTGATGGAAAGTAAGAATGGTACCGGATTTTTCTTTGCGTTGACACATGTGACATTGACGAATGTCACTTGTTTGAGCTGAATCGTATATATATGTATATCTATAACAAAGTGACTATAACAAAGACAATCCATCCTATTTTTTATAAGAACAATCCGGTTTGCATCTGTGAATAAATTAATTAAAATGCAGATCTCAGCACTAACATCCTCTTTACGACAAAAAAGATCTTCTTGAGCAATCGAGCCGATTACCATGTCTTGTACAAACTTTTGTAATCCTACTTAGGCACATTAGTGTTTTCAACTTAGCTTAAAATTTTGCTACATTCGACATTGTATTACAAAATAACTAACAATGAAAAATTTTAGTTTCCAATAAATCAAATTGCAATTGGTTGATCTAACTATGCCAAGGCAAGCAAG